GATTTAATTCTTTAAAATTATTTTATTTAAAAAGTCATAATTTAAATTATTATTTAAATGCATAAATTACTATAATTTTAATAACATTTATAATTTAAATGATTATTTATTTTAAAAAATAATAATGTATTTTTTTTATTAATTTGTTTAATTATTTTAAAATGTAACTATTTTATATATATTTTTAATTACTTCTATCTATAATGTAATAATTATTTATTTAAATAATTATAATGTATTGTAATTTAATTGTATTAAAATAGATTTAATTCTTTAAAATTATTTTATTTCAAGTCATAATTTAAATTATTATTTAAATCCATAAATTACTATAATTTTAATAACATTTATAATTTAAATTATTATTTATTTTTAAACAATAATAATTTATTTGTAATTTAATTTGATATACATTTAATTATATTAAATGATTTAATTATTTTAAAATGTAACTATTTAAATATATTTTTTAATTACTTCTATCTATAATGAAATAATTTTTTATTTAAATAATTACTTATAATGTACTGTAATTTTATTTGATTAAAATATATTTAATTACTTAAAATGATTTAATTAAAAATGCCATTTTAATTTAGTTATTAAATTATATATAATTAAACATTAATTTAAACAATCATTTTTATTTATCTGTCATTTTTACCGATAGATTTGACAATGCACTCACGCATTATTCTCCATCTGCAGACGTGCCGGGTCTGAAGGCATCTCTGTTCATCGAGGGTCTGCAGTATGAAGCTCAGCACGCTCTGAAGGAGGTCCTGGTGCCTCTTCATCCAGAGGATCGAGGGCGGTTTGCTCGGATCCTCCTCACCTCGTCCGCTTTAAAGTCCATCCCTCCGAGCCTCATCACAGAGCTCTTCTTTCGGCCACTCATCAGTCAGGCAGATCTGCTGGACTTGTTGATCGACATGCTTTTCTCGAGGTAGCGACCCAAAGACTCACGGACTCTCCACAGAGCGTTATCTTCTCCAGTGAAAACACTGAGGTGCAAGCACTGGATGAAAAGAGTTACGTCTGATATATTTGACAAGTTACAGACTTCAGCACATCTTTATTGTTTACACAGTTTAATGATCAGTTTAGCTCACGAGTTTGTGATTCACTGATTGTTGCGCCTACGAGAGCTTCTTGTATTGTACATTTGTATGTTCATAAATATACTGCATTTAAATCTATTTTTTTCACATTTTGGCATTATCAGCCTGACTTGTGTGTTTGTCTTGTACTTCTAAATCACTAATTTTACAATTAAAACAATTCTCACAATGATGCATACAAGAGAAGCCCTAAAACAATTCAACCAATGTGCATCATCCCCCCCAAAAAAGTATTTGGACACTTAAATCAAAATATCAAAGCAACTGTTGTTTACTGTAGGGAAAGATGCACAACCACGCTTTACGAGCAACACATTTGACAAAAAGAATTTGTTCAGTTTGAAATGCTAAAACAATGGATCTAGTGTTAAGAATACACAAGTGACCCACTAGAATCGCCAAAATACGCTTTATTCTGTTTTACATGATATAGTAAGCTAGTATTTCTTTCCAACTTAGCTGTGCTTGCTGTATCAAAGCATTGCAAACGCAGCCTCATGCTTTGTCAGTGTCACAGGTTTACTTCTAAAAGAAGTCCAAATTGCAATAAGGTAAATGCATTGTTTGCACAATACGTCCCTGCATATTTGTTTTTATAGCAGATGATTGCTCTGCAAGTGATTTACGAGAAATTCCATTTCTTTGGTGCTTAAATAGTCGCTTTAGTGATGTCAGGATATACACTGAGCAGCATATTTCTATTGCCTAAAATGTCCAGGTTTTGGCTTTGTTTTCATGCTTGCTGAAGATGATGTCTGGAACATTGGAAAAGGTGGGATCGTGTACAGGGAACGGTCAACGTAATATAATGTATGAGGACTGTAGAGAGCTAGACATTTTAGGCAATTTAGAAATCCTAGTTAGGATACTGTAACTGTATACTGCATTTATTTATTTTTTTTTTAAATAGCATGTGCAGTTTTTTGCTGTTATAAACATTGCATGTTGGAAAATTGCATGCAGTTAGAAACAAAGTTAATTTGCATTTTTAGTCTGTTAAAATTTGCATTGCATTGTAGAGTAGTGTGACCTGTTGTATACACATCTTAGCATGCATGGACAAAGGGAATGCACATAGTATGCGATATACTGTAGAATTAGTATATATATTCCATATGTGACCCTGGACCACAAAACCAGTCATAAGGGTATTTTTTTGTTTTTATTGAGATGTATGCATCATCTGAAAGCTGAATAAATAATCTTTACATTGATGTATGGTTTGTTAGGATCGCACAATATTTGGCTGAGATACAACTATTTGAAAATCTGGAATCTGAGGGTGCAAAAAAATCTAAATATTGAGAAAATCATCTTTAAAGTTGTCCAAATGAAGTTCTTAGCAATGCATATTACTAATCAAACATTAAGTTTTGATATATTTACGGTAGGAGATTTACAAAATATCTTCATGGAACATGATCTTTACTTAATATCCTAATGATTTTTGGCATAAAAGAGAAATGTATAATTGTGACCCATACAATGTATTGTTGGCTATTGCTACAAATATCCCCCAGCGACTTAACACTGCTTTTGTGCTGCAGGGTCACATGGCCTGAATTCCAAGTTTGGACATTTTCCTTACGAAAACTATACAATAGTGCTTGATGAACCAATTTGTACAGAAACAAAACTAATGACAAATACATAATATTGTAATGTCTGTACACACAAATACATATGAAAACATAACTCATAGCCGGTCTTGCATCAGTGGCTCCAGGTTTGGGTTCCTCCTTCTGGATAGTGTGTGCTATAGTGCCCTCTTGTGATGATTAAGGCCAACACAAACAAAAAAAAGCCACGTTTCTGAAAATGCAATTTTTATGCAATTAATTGGGTCCGAAATGGTTTACAATCCAAAAGCAAGACAACAAAACGCTAGCACGCCCATGTTAAAAAAAGAAAACCATTTAATGATTGGTAATTTCCAATTAATCCTTAAAAACTATATGTTAGGTATCACAAAATGAGCTTGACTAGTGAAACGGAGTAGCTAGTTTTACAGTAGGCGGCACCGTGTCAAAAAGAGCACAGTTGCGAGGGGAATTTTCTCTGGAGTTTGCCCCTCCTCTGCAATGTACAACTCTAACAAACACTAGGATTTTATTTCCTTTCTATTGTCAAACCAGCCAAACAAGTTCATAGCACAGTGACCTGAGGGAACCAGAGGGAGGAGGCGGACACCAATGCAATTTTCTGAGAAAAATTCTATGCGGTAAACACGTATGAGTGTAAATATGTTATACGTGATACAGAACTAGAATCTTTTTCTGAAACAAAACAAAAAAAACAGTATGATGAAAATGGTGCATACAATTTAAACTAATACGGTAATGCATAAAAACAGAAAATGAGGGAAAGCTCCCTTTTTATTTCAATACAAAAAATTGCACAAAAAAAATCTATACAGTCCCAAAACAACATTAAATGGTTTAAACAAAGAACAAGGCGGACAAATTGTTCAGTGGGGCGACATTTGAAGGACGGGCTACTAGAGCAAAGCACTCCAATGAATGGCAACTAGTTTAAGTCTCGTTGTTGCTATTAATCAGTGCTGAATACATGCATATTTCCTAGATACATCACCACTTAGGATGATAGCAGTGTCTCTTGTCTCTAAAAGGATCATTAGAAGCAATACTTAGAAACCGTTTGATGCCAATGGCTTGGTCTGGAAACTTGTCCATCATTATGTAACTATCCACATGGCTTCTGGCGAGGGCTGTAGGAAACCATCAAGTGCAATGTATTTACACTCATGACAGAAGCTGTGGGACGACAGCAGTCTTTGGGCATTCAGACAAACACAAACTGTCCTTAGCATAATAACTGCTTTCACTGAAATATGAGAGGAGCACAAGGACAGAGATGAACACTAGTTAGGCAGTAATAATTGAGAGCGAACAGCTGGCGTGTTAGCGCAGTAGCGGAGCCCCTGATGAGTCTGTGGCCGAGCTCGAGTAGTAATCTGTGAAGGAAAAGAACATGCTGATTTTTGCAATTTATACATGGACTTCAAACCTCTTGTAGAGTGCAACTACGCATTCAACAAATATTGTAAATAAAAGGTACATTCATTTATAATCAGCGAAATTTCAATGGGAATGGGCAATGGACTTCCGGTGGCAAAGAAATGTCCCAATTTTTTAATCGTTTGTCGAACTCTGACCGATAGCAAGACTCTTGATTTGGCAGTGACCGCTGTTTGGGTGGAGATTCATTACTTAGGCTCTGTTTACACCTGGTATTAAAAGGTTAGTTCACCCAAAATTTAAAATTAGCCCACAAGTTACACGCCCTCAAGTCATCCTAGGTGTATATGACTTCTTCTTTCAGACGAATCCAATCGGAGTTATATTAACAATGGTCTTTGATCTTTCAAGCCGTTTAATGGCACTCAGCGGGTGTTGCATGCATCAGTCCAAAAGAAGTTAAATAAAAAGCGCCCATCCATATGAAAAAAAAGTGTCTCACTTGGCTCCGGGGGGTGAACAAAGGCCTTCTGTAGCGAATCGATGTGTTTTTGTAAGAAAAATATCCATATTCAAAACGTAATAATCACTTGAATCTAGCTTGAGCTCACTGTTGTACACGGAAGCAGCTGCGGGAGCATGACGTATGAGGTCAGTGTTGTGCATGCGCCGCTCAGAAGTGACGAACGCGGAAGCGCAGCGGAGAGATCAAAACAAAACAACGGTCACTAATTAGAAGCACAAAACGAGGATTTGTAAAGAAGAATGTGTGAGGATTTCGATATAAGCCAAGAGGAGACTGGTTTTCCGTTGCTAAAGTAAGGAAACTTTGCTTCCTTTGCTCCTGTAAACAAACGTCTCTTTCACGAGACTCACCGGCGCATACGCAGTGCTGACACAAAAAAAATCTATACAGTCCCAAAACAACATTAAATGGTTTAAACAAAGAACAAGGCGGACAAATTGTTCAGTGGGGCGACATTTGAAGGACGGGCTACTAGAGCAAAGCACTCCAATGAATGGCAACTAGTTTAAGTCTCGTTGTTGCTATTAATCAGTGCTGAATACATGCATATTTCCTAGATACATCACCACTTAGGATGATAGCAGTGTCTCTTGTCTCTAAAAGGATCATTAGAAGCAATACTTAGAAACCGTTTGATGCCAATGGCTTGGTCTGGAAACTTGTCCATCATTATGTAACTATCCACATGGCTTCTGGCGAGGGCTGTAGGAAACCATCAAGTGCAATGTATTTACACTCATGACAGAAGCTGTGGGACGACAGCAGTCTTTGGGCATTCAGACAAACACAAACTGTCCTTAGCATAATAACTGCTTTCACTGAAATATGAGAGGAGCACAAGGACAGAGATGAACACTAGTTAGGCAGTAATAATTGAGAGCGAACAGCTGGCGTGTTAGCGCAGTAGCGGAGCCCCTGATGAGTCTGTGGCCGAGCTCGAGTAGTAATCTGTGAAGGAAAAGAACATGCTGATTTTTGCAATTTATACATGGACTTCAAACCTCTTGTAGAGTGCAACTACGCATTCAACAAATATTGTAAATAAAAGGTACATTCATTTATAATCAGCGAAATTTCAATGGGAATGGGCAATGGACTTCCGGTGGCAAAGAAATGTCCCAATTTTTTAATCGTTTGTCGAACTCTGACCGATAGCAAGACTCTTGATTTGGCAGTGACCGCTGTTTGGGTGGAGATTCATTACTTAGGCTCTGTTTACACCTGGTATTAAAAGGTTAGTTCACCCAAAATTTAAAATTAGCCCACAAGTTACACGCCCTCAAGTCATCCTAGGTGTATATGACTTCTTCTTTCAGACGAATCCAATCGGAGTTATATTAACAATGGTCTTTGATCTTTCAAGCCGTTTAATGGCACTCAGCGGGTGTTGCATGCATCAGTCTAAAAGAAGTTAAATAAAAAGCGCCCATCCATATGAAAAAAAAGTGTCTCACTTGGCTCCGGGGGGTGAACAAAGGCCTTCTGTAGCGAATCGATGTGTTTTTGTAAGAAAAATATCCATATTCAAAACGTAATAATCACTTGAATCTAGCTTGAGCTCACTGTTGTACACGGAAGCAGCTGCGGGAGCATGACGTATGAGGTCAGTGTTGTGCATGCGCCGCTCAGAAGTGACGAACGCGGAAGCGCAGCGGAGAGATCAAAACAAAACAACGGTCACTAATTAGAAGCACAAAACGAGGATTTGTAAAGAAGAATGTGTGAGGATTTCGATATAAGCCAAGAGGAGACTGGTTTTCCGTGGCTAAAGTAAGGAAACTTTGCTTCCTTTGCTCCTGTAAACAAACGTCTCTTTCACGAGACTCACCGGCGCATACGCAGTGCTGACCTCATACGTCATGCTCCCGCAGCTGCTTCCGTGTACAACAGTGAGCGCAAGCAACATTAAAGTGATTACGTTTTGAATATGGATATTTTTCTTACAAAAACACATCGATTCGCTACAGGATGACTTTGTTCTCCCTCCGGAGCCGTATGAGACATTTTTTTTTATGGATGGGCGCTTTTTATTTCACTTCTTTTGGACTGAAGCATTGCAACACCCGCTGAGTGCCATGAAACAGCTTGAAAGATCAAAGACTATTTTTTATATAACTCCGACTGGATTCATCTGAAGAAGAAAGTCATATACACCTAGGATGCCTTGAGGGCGAATCATTTGTGGGCTAATTTTCATTTTTGGGTGAACTAACCCTTTAAAATATGTTTTTGTCGATCCGATCACAAGTGGACGATGCTAAATACGGGTCTCAGACATTAAGAGCTAGCTTGTCCACTTCCAGAGTGGATTGACTGGATTGATTTCCTAGTGTAGATGCTCATGTAGTCGAATGCGTTCCAACAGCATCCTCTCTGCCTACTGACGTAATTCTTAAATATTTTGTGACATGTTGTTGAAGTGCACTAACAAGATAGGATTTAAAATTTGCCGTCTGAAATCGTACGTTTGGTTTGAGGGTGAAAAGATGTAAAAAGCACAATTTTCTCTTACCGTTCCTAATTCTAACACAAACCCACAGCGTTTGGTGTAGAAGCAGCAATGAAAGCTGCTGCCCTATGTATTGTTTTCAACTGTCTCCTTTCACGTTTAAATGTCAATTGCGCAAGCTTATTGAGCAATATTAGATCGAAAGATCAGAAAAAGCCCATACATACACCCCCGCCCATAGACCCTTCCCTCAAAGAAATCAGGAAAGTGGTCAAAAGAGGTGGATTAAAACAGCAGGAGTAAACAGGAATGTGTCTCCCTCATCTACTTGTGATCCGATCAACCAAAGCTCATCTTAATACCAGATGTAAACCGCGACAAAACAAAATGGAACATCCACAGTCATTCTGGCAAATATTTACTCAATATATTTACATTTCAATATTATAAAACGATTCAGGGTTGGTATGTTTGCTTTGGATGTTTATTTCATCATCATTATTACCGTATTCCATTCATGGTATTTTGTGACATTTGGACCCGCTTTTTTTGCCTGCAAATTTTCACCATGTCATCAATAGCACTGAACTACAATTTTAGGCAAAAACTTTTTTTTCAGTACAGATTTTCATTCAAGTGACACCCTACATTTGCACACGTCTCTAGCATAGAAGGATACCACAGCGCAAGAAAAGCGAGACCTTCAGACAAGTTACATAATGAGAGCACCACCATTATGTGAGGAAGGGTAGATGTGATCTGATATGGTGGAATAGTGGATAAACTGCTTGGAGGTGAGCTAAGGCCCCTCAAGAGCGTTTGTAAAGTGAGATGAGAAGTGTCAGTGTTCACTGTCAGAAGCTTTAGGCCCTGCAACTACAGTTTACGGAGACAGGTGGGTGAGGGCATTATTCTTTGGGGGGCGTAGATCAAAGGCAGGAATGCCAAATTCAAAAGTAGAGAACGAGTGAGAAAACATTTGGGAACACTGAGAAAAGAATACGCCATCCTCAGGGTGCAATTCCAACAGGTTAGGGTTAACATGGCACCATGGACTGGCGGTAAATTATCTTTTCCCATCAAACCATCCAGAAACTATAAGAAGCAAGACACTTACTTTTCCCGCTGTGGCCTCTCATCTTTCGAGCAAGCTCATCTGACTGTGTCAGTTCTGACACTAGCACCTCGGGTTCTCCTTGAGGGAAAAGGAAATAGCGTCAAAAGACATTCAAACATCATCGTGCCCTACTGACACTCTTATCCACCATCACTTACCATCACTAAAGGTGAAGGTCATGGTCTCGTTCCCACTGTCGGGCAGCGTTCCATCCCTCCTCCCGTTAGTATGCTGCATTGCATCATGCGCTTTATAGTCTTTGCTTTTGCAACCTTTCGAGGACTTGTTGCGGGTGCTGATGCGTATGACGCCGTGCACCAGCCGACACTCCGCTTCTTGCTCCTCCAAGTTGTAGTCCTGAGCAATGCTGTTGATCAGATCGCTGATCTCGTTGGTTTTAAGGGAGAAGGACACGTCAGATGTGCATTTGGCCAGCTGCTCAATCTGGTGCATTTTATAAAGTTCTAGAAGCTTTTTAGTGATTAGCGAGTCGATGTCAGTGCCGCCATCGTCCAGGTCATCTAGATCCAAATCTTCCCTGGAGTAGATACTGATGGAACGCTGGTTGTTGTCGCCCTTTCCAGCCGTTTTGGTCCGTCTTGGAGGCGCCTCGGAGTTGACAGGATACTCCACTTTCTTGCCAGCAAAATAGACGTCGCCGTACCTGAAGCTAGAGCTTGGCAACTGCCTCGGTTTACTCGGTTCAAGGCTTACGCCGCACGTGGGATTGGACGGAGCCAATCCATTGGGCTTCCTTGGTTCTGGCTCAGCTTTTAAAGGGTTGTCAGTGGAGCTCTCGTTGGGCGGCAAGCAAGGTTTGCGAGACCCGTAAAGCCCACAAGTCAGAATGCAGCAAAGCAGAGCTTTGCAACCACTCCAGCCAAGAGAGGCGCATGAGCCGCAGGCTTGCGTACCTTGCGGAGAGTCGGCGGAGCCTGGGATAAAGCCCAGGGTTTCTGAGCCTCGTCCATTGGCGTAATGAGAATGGGTTTTACGGGGGAACTGCAAGTCTATGCTACGAGGTTGCTCAATGTAGTTCTCCTTGTAGGTCTCCTGACTGGTGGTGCTGTCCTTGGAGTAAGTGCGGCTCTGCCTGTAGCCATCAGCCCTAGAGCGGCTTGAGCTATGAGGACGCGTCTTGTGATGCGTTCCTGTGCTGTGGCCAGGCATAACTCAGCACATTCAGGACCTGCAGGAACATGGGATGGACATTAATGCATCAAGATTTAAAGAGCTGAAATAGTTCACAAGTTCAAGCATTGCTTCTTAGGCACGTTTCACACACCTAACCTGAACAGAGCCAATATTAACATTAACGTTCACACTGCACACATAAACAAACAGCACAATCCTGTGTACCTGCATGTAGAGAAGTGCTGAGCCTATCTTTGCAGAACGTTGCATGCATGATTAAATTACAGCATTATTTGCAATTTAGGCTTTTATGGAGCAACATAAAATGACAATTAAAAGACGCCTGTCAAGTTTAATACAAGTTGTATGCGCAGTGACAGACAAACAGCACTTAATACTTAAGTAAATCTGATTGAGACAAGGCAATTTGAGACTATAGATTTTGCCATTTAATTGCGATGTAGATGTTAATATGGTCTTCTTATGTGGTTTGTAGTTCTCAATCAAGTTCTCCTAACCATTTTATCATTTATGGCATACATATTAAAGTAAATACACATGTATGCTGTTGCAATTACTCTGTTGATGAAAGATGGCCTTGTTATATTTAAAAAAAAATAAAATAAAAAACAAAGAAATCATTTTAAGCAATGACTGCTAAGAAAAATGACTAATGTTTTTTAGTGAATATACATAAACGTCAAAGCGTTAAACAGACCTCAGATTTCTCATTTATTGCACAATGACTTCCTCAAGCCTGGAGATATAACAAAAAACAACACAACAGTGCAATGATGATGGTGAAATCAAATAATGAAATGGACTATTAAACAGTCGTGGCCTAATGGTTAGAGATTCAAACTTGTAACCCAAAGGTTGTGGATTCGAGTCTTGTGCACTTGGATGGGTTAAATGCAGAGCACTATTTCCGAGTATGGGACACCACACTTGGCTACACGTCACACTTTAATCATCAACATTGCACCAAAATACCACTGACCATATTTTGCTCGACTGGGTCGAAATAACATATAGTGGACACCTTCATTCTGTGTCTACATGTGTTGTGCTCCAAAGGCATTTCAAACATGTCAGCAGTGAGCTGATCTGTATCTAGATAGCATAGAAGGGTTATTTATGCAAGCCTGGAAAATGCGAACATTTGGAGCGGTTATATCAGCACAACCATATCCAGATCTTAATATTACACATTAAAAAATATATAAGCTGCATCTTCTGTAGCTCTTATTACACTCCTAAAAATAAAGGTTCCAAAAGTGGGTATGCCATAGAAGAACCATTTTGGGTTCTCCAAAGAACCTTTTGTGCATTGGAAAGGTTCCATGGATGTTAAAGGTTCTTCGTGGAACCAGATATGCCAATAAATAACCTTTATTTTTAAGAGTGCAGCATGTTTAAAATGAGTAAAGAGGGTTTTCTTTGGTGGGCAGGAATTATTCGATCATCAAGTTATTCAATTTTACATGTGTTTTAAAATACACTCCCTTGAGAGCTTTCATACAGTCAGTGTTTGACTCAAGGATTGCGTTCTGTGTCTAGAATCATTCGTTTTCGTTGAATCCGGTCACAAATTCTCAGAAAGCAACATGATGTCATCCATACTGTGAATATCACCCGATATAGATAAGTATTGTCATTTGTCATCAACCAACTGATAGTTTGAGGACATTCTTGTGAATCAAGTGGATGAGAAGGAAATACCCAGAATACATCCGTAGAAAGGACTGGTTATTCATTTATGGTCATTATCAGTGAACAGTTTAGTCAGACGTAAAGCAGGCCTGTAAAGTGCACTCGTGCCAGTCCAAAAAACTTTATTTGGACTATTTAGCAGATGGAACATATGCATTGCCTGTATTGGCAAAATGCAGTTTGTCTGTCCAAACCATATTAAATGCTTAATTAGTCTGTTTTAACAGCCTCTAACTGTATTCGTCTGAATGCAATGGCTGTACCAGAATTTATGGACTTGACTTAGAATTATTTATGGCTACAATCCTTTGGAAAGTCCCAATGCAAGACGAGCACGCATCCAGCAGGACCCACTGATTGCGAGGGTTCTAGTGACTCGTTCGCAGAGCAGATGGTTTGTCAAGGTGACACTTACCGCATAGGCTCGGGTGAAATCTTCAGATGTTTGGAACGCAACTTCTAGTCGTTCAAGATCGCGGAAGTAGCCCGAGTGTGAAGTATGTTCCCTTTGACGCGTTATAACCTCCACTTCATCGATCTTTGTTTTGACTCACTGACTGAAAATGGGTCAAACGTGTCGATTTCGTCGCCAGATTCGGCTCATATTGAAGCTTTGCTCGGTGAGATTGGTTCCTTCGCCCCGCCGCGCCGTGCCGTACTTCACCTGCGGCTACAGGTAAAGCCACCGCCCACTTACAGGTAAGCAGTGACGTCAGGATGTGTTGCTTAAATACCTTTTGTTCGTTTGCTTTTGCTTTCCTATAAATCAAATAAAACATGCATATAATAGTGCCAGTGTTTGTGGAAAACGTGTCATACAAACAAAATGTGAGCTTCGCCCCGCCGCGCCGTGCCGTACTTCACCTGCGGCTACAGGTAAAGCCACCGCCCACTTACAGGTAAGCAGTGACGTCAGGATGCAAATAAAACATGCATATAATAGTGCCAGTGTTTGTGGAAAACGTGTCATACAAACAAAATGTGATGTTTTTGTCATGCACCACACTCAAAAACTATTTTAACAGGTTCACTATTTTAAGAGGTCCTCTTGGTCTAACATCAGTGATTCTCATTTGCATGTGCAGTGATTAAGAATATCTAGATATATATTTGTTACATCTTAAATAAGAAAACCTGAGTACTGTCCATTTAAAGAGAAATATGGATGCAGTGTCAAGAATGTTAGCATATGAGATGGACAACATATTCAGGGTTGAAAAAGTACTGAGCAAAAAAAAAACAGGATTCCCATAATCATTGAAAACCTAAGTAGGAGCCCCAAATACAAAATTTTATGCACATTTCTGAAAAGTATTTAGTATTCTCTGTGGAATGATGCAAATGTCATTCCTGCACTACAGATTCACTCACACTTCTTCAGGTAGAAACAGAAGCATTTTAGATTTCCTTTAGCGGACTAGCTTTTATTGTTATAACTGTCACTATTTTAAGAGGTCCTCTTGGTCTAACATCAGTGATTCTCATTTGCATGTGCAGTGATTAAGAATATCTAGATATATATTTGTTACATCTTAAATAAGAAAACCTGAGTACTGTCCATTTAAAGAGAAATATGGATGCAGTGTCAAGAATGTTAGCATATGAGATGGACAACATATTCAGGGTTGAAAAAGTACTGAGCAAAAAAAAAACAGGATTCCCATAATCATTGAAAACCTAAGTAGGAGCCCCAAATACAAAATTTTATGCACATTTCTGAAAAGTATTTAGTATTCTCTGTGGAATGATGTAAATTGAATGATGCAAATGTCATTCCTGCACTACAGATTCACTCACACTTCTTCAGGTAGAAACAGAAGCATTTTAGATTTCCTTTAGCGGACTAGCTTTTATTGTTATAACTGTATATGCACACACACACACACACACACACACCAGAGGTGGTTTTTCAAACATGCTGTAATATACTGCTTTGCCAAAAGCAGAGACACAGATTAATATGGGCTGTCTGGTCTTGATCAATTGCAGTCATTAGTTCCAAGCTCTATAAAGCACACATGCAGAGAGATTTGCTATGTGCTCGCAGGGAACATTACTCTCAAAATCCTTCATTGTGCCCCATTTTCCCCCAATACACCCCTTCATTTCCCTCCTTTCCTCAACCGTGGCGAAATATCGAGGACACAATCTGTAGCAGCGAATGCGGTGGGCCGCACCAAATAATGTGATGGAGAGGAGCGTTTCAATCTGGTGAACAGGTTATGAAATATACTGGAGAGCGTAATTCAGTCAGATAGGGTTAGATACACATGAGAAGTCATTCAGTGCGCCTTTGAGTTTCCTTGTAACCCTTAGAAAATTTGGCAAGACAACAACGGACTGATAAATCAGATATTTGAGCTCAAACCGGATTATAATAAACAGTTTTGTCAGTAAATTTTGTGTTGATTTCAGCATATTGTGGCTTTTAGTCCACACGCTTAAATATAACGGTTCCAAAAGGGGTTTTTCACAACAATGCCATAGAAGAACCATTTTTTGGTTCTCTAAAGAACCTGTCAGTGAACAGTTCTAAAAAGAAACATTTAATAATCTTAATGACCTTTTTCCACTGTAAAGACACTTTTGTGGAATGGTGGAGGTTCTTCATGGAACCATTGAAGCCAATAAAGAATCTTTATTTTTAAGAGTGCATGTCTGTCTAAACTACTGTAATCTTACACAATCACAAGTTCAACCTTTATATGCTTTTACAGTCTTTCTCGTTCTGTTTTTGTGTTGACTCTTCTTACATTGGTGGATGTTTTCCAATTAAATTGCATATTGTATTAGCTTATATCATGCATTTATTGGCATTGCATCGGTTACCAGTCACACATCTCTCTAATTAATGGTATCTGCTAACCGCTAAATGTCTATTTAGAAAATGTCAAGCACACCACTTTGCTACAAACTGAAATATCAGGACATAATACTGCATCTACAAACATTTCTTTAGAAATGAGTTCATTGTACAGTTATAGTGTTACATCGGATGGGATCTGTGAGATACGGGCGTCAGTAGAGATGTGCGCCAAGCGCTGGTCCATTTGAGGCCGACCCTGGGGCCCGTGTGAAACGTGCCCCAGTCGTGGGTCAGAGTCGATCTCGTAACGGTGATGATACCCCTCCAGCACATTTTGACAGGCTTCATATATGTCTGTGATCCATTTCTTGATACCCTTTCGGTTGAGGTAGACAACAAAGAGAAAGACCATGCCTACGAATCCCAGCACTAATCCAAGGAACACATAGGATGTTTGTATGGACAAGTCGGTGATCTCTTCGTGCACTTTACCGTAACACCCCAACGCCTGTGCGCCAAGACCCCGCAAAGACACGTCACGCAGAGCAGCAGGGAACTCGCAATACAGCCTGTCCGCATCGCCCACCCTAACCTTTGAACTGTTTAGCCAGTTGGCAAGCTCTTGCGCTTCACATGTGCACACGTAAGGATTCTGACCCAACAGCAGACGCACCCCACTGAATCGCTCCAGCTCGCGAAGACCCTCGTCGCTGATCGTTCTGAAGGCGTTTCCAGTCAAGTCCAGCTCTAGAAGTTGCTCGATACCAGAGAATGTGCTGTTGTAGATGGCCACCAGAGAGTTGTTGCGCAGATGCAGATGCTGCAGGTTCGGCAGAGGAGCGAACATCCCCGGGGGTAAGAGGACGAGGCGGTTACTCGATAGATCGAGGTGAAGCAGGTTTGTAAGCTCTCCCCAGCGCAGGGCAGTGATGAGGTCGGTCAGAGACGAGTAGTTATAGAGCGACGAGCGCAGGCTGAGCTCCTGCAGAGGGCTGCCAGGCACGGAGAACGCCTCGGGGTGGATCAGAACCAGCTGGTTGTTGTTCAGGATTAGAGAACGCAGCGCGAACAGAGAGGAGAACGCGTGCAGTCATTCAGTGCGTCTTCAAGTCTTCTTATAACCTCTAAGACAACAACAGACTGATATTGTGAGCTCATGAAAACCGGCTGATAATCAACAGTTTTTTTGCGGTAAATCTTGTGTCAAAAAGTTTAATTTAAGCAAATTTTGTGTTTTTGTGTTGACTCATCTTGCATTGGTGGATTTTACAATTAAATTATATGCGTGTTAGCATCAGTGTTGGGCAGTAACTAGTTACATGTAACGGATTTTTCGGAATTTAATTACAAAATAAATGTAACTGTAATCTGTTACAGTTACTGAGAAAATAATGTGTAGTTAAATTACAGTTACCTATGAAAATGTTAACGATTACAAAGGGGTTACATCTGAATATTTTCACACAGATACAGATGGACACAGAATAGAACACATGCTTATTCCATAACTCTTTTATTTCCTATTTGGGTTGATGTATATGCTTTATTTGAGTTTTTTTCCAAAAGGCATCATTAGATATCCTGTTTCCTGTATGCAAAGATTTAAAAAAACAGTATCATAGCTATTAAATGGTCTCTTGTTATAATTTTAAATCTGTTTTTAACCTCAGAGTGATCTCAAAGTAAACCGAGGTGCTAAAGTCTGATTTATGGTGGCTGTGCTTTAAATTCGATTATTAGAATCTTAATTCAAGTGATGAATGATTTTGAAAGTGTTGAGCACTACTATAACTATATATTAAATGGTTAAAAATTATTAACAGCTGAAAACATTTGTTAAAAAATTTAGAAAAGTAATCAAAAATTATTAAATGCAATCAGTTACATTAATAAAGTAACTGAAATAGTTACACTAAGTATTACATCTTAAACAGGGTAACTTTTCCAAAGTCGCAAATATCATGCATTTATTGGCATTGCATCAGTTATCAGTCAAACATGTTTCTAATTAATGATATCTGCCAACCACTAATGATATTTAGAAACCGTCAAGCGAACCACTTTGCTACAAACGCTTCTACAGATGGGTTCATCGTGCAGTTATAGTGTCACGTCGGATGGGATCTGTGTGATACGGGCATCAGTAGAGATGTGCGCCAAACGCGGATCCATTCGAGGGCGACTCTGCTGCTGAGCGTGCGAAACGTGACCCAGTCGTGGATCGGAGTCGATCTCGTAACGGTAATGATACCCCTCCAGCACATCTCGACAGGCTTCATATATTTCTGTGATCCACTTCTTAATACCCTTTCGATTGAGGTAGACGACAAAGAGGAAGACCATGCCTACGAATCCCAACACTAATCCAAGGAAAACATAGGATGTTTGTAGGGACAAGTCGGTAATCTCTTCGGGAACATTACCGTAACACCCCAACCCCTGTGCGCTAATACCCCGCAAAGATGCGCCACGAAGAGAAGCAGGGAATTCGCAATACAGCCCGTCCACATCGTCCACCCTGACTTTCGAACTGTTTAGCCAGTTTGCGAACTCTTGCGCTTCGCAAGTGCATGCATACGGATTCTGACCCAAAAGTAAACGCACGCGGCCGAGTCGCTCCAGCTCGCGCAGACCCTCGTCGCTGATCGTTCTGAAGGCGTTTCCAGTCAAGTCCAGCTCTAGAAGTTGCTCGATACCAGAGAATGTGCTGTTGTAGATGGCCACCAGAGAGTTGTTGCGCAGATGCAGATGCTGCAGGTTCGGCAGAGGAGCGAACATCCCCGGGGGTAAGAGGACGAGGCGGTTACTCGATAGATCGAGGTGAAGCAGGTTTGTAAGCTCTCCCCAGCGCAGGGCAGTGATGAGGTCGGTCAGAGACGAGTAGTTATAGAGCGACGAGCGCAGGCTGAGCTCCTGCAGAGGGCTGCCAGGCACGGAGAACGCCTCGGGGTGGATCAGAACCAGCTGGTTGTTGTTCAGGATTAGAGAACGCAGCGCGAGCAGAGAGGAGAACGCGTGCGAGCCGATCTCCATAATGCTGGCAGAACAGAAAGAAAGTGAGGATTTTAAATGGTGAAATATACAAATCAGCAGGAGCACATCACTAAATCTATATTACTGTCGGAGGAGTAAAAATACAGATAGAAAGATTGACAGACAGACGGATAGATAGACAAACAGATAGATATACAGACAGACAGACGATAAATTTGATAGGTAGATAGATGGACAGGCAGACGGAAAGACAGACAGATAGATGCTCTTCTGAATATTATTAATTTGTGAAAGTCATTAGGATGTGTCCCAAAAACTTTAAAACTGGCTGTTATTAAGCATCTCATTAAAAAACACACAACTCAATCCTAGAGAGTTAGTTAATTACAGACCGATCTCAAATTACCCTTTTCTGTCAAAAATACTAGAAAAGGCAGTATACTCTCAGCTACGTTCCTTCTTAGAGAGAAATGGTATCTGTGAGGATTTCCAGACCGTATCCTAGTGCTGTGACTGCTCTCATCAAGAGTTACAAATGACCTGCTCTTATCATCTGATCGTGGTTGTATCTCTCTATTAGTGCTACTGGATCTTTAGTGCTGCGTTTGACACTCGACCACAACATTCTTTTGAATAGACTAGAAAATTATGTTGGCATTAGTGGAATTGCATTGTCATGGTTCAAATCTTACTTATCTGACCGTCATCAATTAGTAGCTGTGAATGATGAGGTATCATATCGATCACAAGTGCAGTATGGAGTACCACAAGGCTCAGTACTAGGACCGTTGCTTTTCACACTTTACATGTTACCCTAGAGACGACCTCTACAGCCCTGAATGTCAGCGGAGACCTCAACAACCATCGGCACAAGACCACGGGATCCAGACAAGACCTCTGCACCTGTGTTGCAGGCTGAAATTAAACCACATCATGCTGGTTTCGTCTGGCCAGAGGAGAACTGCATCTACAGCAGTTCTGAGCCTGTTTTTTTTTCTCCATTTCTGTCACCGATGGAGTATTGGTTCCTTTGGCTTGCTTAGTTGGGGACGCTTGACTGATTGCACAGACACTATTGGAAGATGACATCACTGACTTTAGCTGAAAAAATTGTCCTGTTGCATTGTCAGAACACTATTTTCCAGTTTAACACTGTAAAGCGGCTTTGACACAATCAGTATTGTATAAAGCGCTATAGAAATAAACTAAAAAATATATAGATGATAGATAGATAGATAGTTTTTGTCGACTAGCAGTATCTTTCTCACCCATTGCTGCTCAGGTTCAGGTGTGTGACGTTCTGCAGTCCGCTGAACGCGCTGTGGTCGAGTCTGTGAATCGCGTTTGCGGTGAGGATCAGGCTGCTGGCGTCGCTCGAGATCGCGGCAGACGCGCAGTGCACCGTGCGCTGAGCTTCAGAACACTCGCAGCGCAGCGGACACGACGCGACGCACGCGGAGACGCACAACATCGCGCAGACGAGCGTCAGCATCATCCAAGCGCTCGCGCTCACGGTCCGGAGCGTCTGATGGCACCGCGTTCGCTGCAAGTGCACATGCTGTAGATGCTCCTCAGCAACACACTCACCTAGAAAGAGCTCCTGATCTCAGATGTAGAAGCCAGGGTGGGTGGAGCTGAATGCACTCCACTCCACAACACATCCATCTATTCACAGGACTGGGGTCAGCGTGTGTTCTCTGGCCATAAGGAACATTTATAGAGCAGCTTTTGCTTTGTAAAGATGCATACCGCACTGTTAGGAAATATTAGCATCACTCATCTTTGTCATGCATTCAATTCCCAAATATACAGCAGTTAAGAAAGATGCACAAACACTTCAGTCAAGAAGTTTGTTGGGTTTAAAATGCTAAAGCAACTGAAGAAGACAGTCAGTATTGTTAGTTTGTGGTTAGTTAGTGGATGATGTTGATGGTTAATGTGATTCTCTACACCTGTGTGAACTTGAGAACTAACTTCATAAATCCACTAAAAATGAACAAAACGCATTGGATTCAAACACTGAGATTTAAAACATCAGGAAGAAAAAAGTATGGAAGCTTGTTTCCACAAAGGTATAAACAAATAATAATAAAAATCAAGTAATTGCAATTTTGTATCTCACAATTTAGACTTTTTTTCTCAAAATTCTGACTTTTTTTGCTCACATAAAGTCTAATTTGCAAGAAAAAAAGTCAAGAGTTGCGAGTTAAAAAGTCACAATTAGCTTTTTTATTTTTAATTCCATGGCAGACATTTAAAAAAAAAAAAATCAGAATTCTGAGTAAAAAAGTCTAAATTGCGAGATGCAACCTTAGAATTGCGGGTTTTGAACTGAGCTGCGAGAAAAAAGTCAGAATTCTGTGAAAAAGCGAGATGTGAACTGAATTGCGAGAGAATTAAGAGAATTGCTTGTTTATAGCTTTTTTTGTTTTGTTTTCAGAATTGCAAGAAATAGTCCGAATTCTGAGATAGAACGTTGCAATTACCTTTTTATTTTTAATTCTGTACCAGAAACAAAAACTGCATTGCAAGATGTAATTGCAAGAAATAGTCCGAATTCTGAGATAGAACGTTGCAATTACCTTTTTAATTTTGTGGCAGAAACTAAAAAAATGGAATTGCGAGTGTAAAATCAAAATTCTGAGAAAAAAAAGTGTCTAAATTGCGAAATATAAACTTCGATTTTCGAGATGTGAACTGAATTGTGAGAAAAAAAGTCAGATTTACAACGTTACAGCTTGCAACTTAAAGTTTTGTTTTCAGAATTGCAAGAAATAGTCAGAATTCTGAGATTAAAAGTTGCAACTACCTTTTTATTTTTAATTCTGTACCAGAAACAAAAACAGCATTGCAAGATGCAAAGTCAGAATTGTGAGACAGTCACTATATACCTTTATTTGTTTTAATCCGATGGCAGAAACAGGCTTCCATAGTAAAATAACACTAGTGAAGAGAAAAGATCCGGCACTAGAAGAACGCTAGGTCTGTTTCAGCATTTCAAACCACAGAAACTTGTGTTTGTGCTCTCTTTCTTTACAATATTCAATTAAAAATAAAATAAATGAGGGCAAACATTATGGATACACTTTT